CAACACTCGCACACATAGACTTCCAGGTATGCCCATACATACAGGTCGAGTCTAGGCTAGTTTAGACTATAGATAGGATGGGCACATCGGTTCAGGGCTTTTGGCAGTTGGTACCGAGTACATCGCTGCTGCGCTACGCGTGAACCGGAAGTGGTGACGGCTCAGCGTGGAAGGAGACAGGCGTAGCCAGACCTTCTGAGCGCTGGCCATAGCTGGGACCTGCGCTGTACTCTGCCAGCACGTAGGGGCTGTCAGAGGTCTGGGTTATCGAGGTCTGTTGGGGGCGAGAGAAGTTGGTGCCCTGCTGGACCCTCCTCCGGAGTGGGGTTCCAGGGTTGTGGCGCTGCAGCCATAGCTGCAGCTTCTTCCTCAGAGGTCATCTTGTCAGGATTTGGTGGCGCTGCTGCAGACTTCCATCCGGGAAGTCTTCCGACACTTCGTCATCTTCAGATACTGTGGCGCTGGTCTTCTTCTTCATCCTCTGAGTGGCGCTTGGCCTCAGAGGCCTGTGTCAGGGTGGCGCTTCCCTTTGGAGGCTGTATCTGGGTGGCGCTTGATGTTTCAGGGGCTCAGGGGTGTCACGAGTGGTTACTCAGGGTTGGGGAGTGAAGCGCTGCTCATTTGTGAGCAGCGCACTGTAGGTCTGAAGTTATTCTGACAATTTGAGACTCTGAGTTTAATAAACAGTGTAATACTGGGTTTGGACTATCATCGTTTCATTGTTTCCTGGATGTGATCTACTCGGCTTTTCTTTATGACTGGTTGTGAGGATTGAGTGGAGTGAATTGCACTTTCAGTGTACCCTGTCATATCGCATGGTCAAGTCTTCCGCTGTGTTTATCTCTCCCTGTGCGGTGTGATACTCCTATCCTCTCCCCTTCCTTCTGTGTATGTATGGGCATACCTGGAAGTCTATGTGTGCGAGTGTTGGTCTCAGACAACAAACAACCAGAATCATAACATGTATATGTGTGCCCAGAGGCTATGTATGTTTTTGTATGAGCCCGTAGGCTATGTGTATATGTATTCACAAGCCATGTTTGTGTCTACCCTAAGGCGATGTGTGCTGTGTGTAATATATGTTGCCCAGAAGCTATGTATGTTTTTGTATGAGCCTGTAGGCTATGTGTATATGCATTCACAAGCCATGCTTGTGTCTACCCCAAGGCTATGTGTGCTCTGTGTAACTGTATAGTGAGATGTATGTGCCCGAGGGCCAGATATGTGCAGTACTATGTGGAGGGAACTATGTGTTCATTGAAGAGATGACAGGCCAAGCTGGACAAGAACCCCCCCCAAAGTCGGGAGATCAACAGAACACCCACAAGAAACAGCGATAAGCAAACCCACGCAGAATCAAGAGCCGACATACAACACCATGGACAACCCTTGGGTGGTGCGTACGCAGTGTCTGTAATAGCTTACCATGCGTCAGCCCAAGGGGGTGTGTGTCCAGCCGTGCGTCATTCTAACACCCTGCCAGTGTCCATGCGCAAGGCTGCAATTGAGTTTGGAACCTGCAGCCTCATACCACAATGCGCATTTCCAACCGGTGCTCTAACCACTGACCTACATCAACTGGACCAGTTGTATGTTTCTAACCCTGGTCTAACCGCTGCATCCCCGGCTTCTTTGTTTTTCTTTTTTCTTTCTTTAATAGTACCTTTTATCTACCAGTCACTTCTGATTGCCATTGTAGTGTTGTGTTTTAATTTGGCTTTCAAAGTCTGGTCAGACAAAAAATTGCCCTTGAAAACACCATTGTTCCTTTCCTCCCAGATGACCCAAAAGATAACAACTCTGATGACAAAGGCCAGACAACCCAGGTCCTCTGAGGATTGAGACTCGATTGCGACAACACTGAAGAGGACTCAGTCCTCTTCCCAGCCTCCCAGGGAAAACTGTGGCCGCAGATTCTGTTCCAATGTTTCCTCCACCACATCTCTAGCTGTTATAGCTGGTGTTTTCTTTTTACAACAAAAAAAAAAAACAAAGATTCGAAGGACCATTTGCACCTTTTGGAGGATAGTTGAACCTCCATACTTCAAGTTCTGCTCCTCAGCCACACCGCAGATGGGGTAACCATCCAAAGAGGGCAGCTAATCTCTTTTTTTTTTTTTTTTTTTTTTTTTTTTTTTTTTTTTTTGTGGTGCTCACAGGACCCATCACATTCCTACCTCAACTTTCTTCTTCCTTAGCATAACCCCTGCTTCTCCATCTACGGGGGGCACTGTTGACCCTTACCTCGGGTATACCAGACAACAGTTGCAGGCACCAGCGCTAGGCCAGGACAACCCCTCCCAGCCCTAGTTGAAGCACTATCGGACGAGCGTTGTCTTACGGGCACTTGGGTCGCCAAGCATGATCGTCCTATGCACTTTCCTTACGAGCACCAGGCCGGGTTGGTCAGACAGCGAGCATTCCACGGATCTACCCCAGGCAGTGTCTACTGGTCCTACCCTGACCAAGGTCTTTACCTAAGGCAGCCTCCTGACCCAACCTGGGCGACATGTTCCTAGCACAGCCTACTGTTGCCTTGCATTAGGGGTTGTCTTGTCATCATGGATAGTTAGTTATCCAGTTCATATTGAGGGGGCAAGGTTATCGGTCCTTAACCGTCACAGCAGTTCGCCACAGGGCCGATTCCTGCCAAGGAAAACCTCCGGCCCATCTCCCCTTGCACCCCAGTTGCCTATCAGTTATGGATTGTGTTAGCGTGGGGCCATTCTCCACCCCTGCTAGTGTCATATCAAGGGGGCAGGGTTATGGGTCCATAACTGTCGCACCAGGTCGCCACAGGGCCGCTTCCTGCCAGGGAAAACCTCCAGCCCATCCCCCCTTGCGTCCCCCCAGACGGTCATCAGCTATGAGTTGTGTGTTATGTGTTTGTCATATCGAGGGGGCAGGGTTCAAGTTATCGGTCTGTAGCCGTTGCACCAGTTCGCCACAGGGCCGATTCCTGCCAGGGAAACCTCCAGCCCTTTCCCCCCTGCACCCCCCAGTGGGTTATCAGCTATGAGTTGTGTGTCATGTGTTTTCTCGAGTTGAACCCGGGACCTCCAAGTTAAAATATCAGAGCGCTACCCACTGAGTTATTGAGGTCATTAGTCTGTAAATGCGCTATGCCAGACTCGGGGAAAGTACGCTGGGTGCAACCTACACCAACCAATTGTGCTCGGGGGAAATTCCGGGCCGACAAAGTCGAACCTGCAACCTCCCCGTTGCCACTCCGGAGCTCTGTCAACTGAGCTACCGCGCACTTGCTTACCAACTGGCCGTCTCTAAGGTAAGAAGGTAAGACGCCAAACATGCCACAAGCACTATCGCGGGGGCAATGGGAGTTGAACCCACAACCTCCTGAGTGCTGCTTGAATGCCTTACCAACTGAGCTACACCCAGTTGGGGCCTGCACGGGAATTAACTGCAAATCAGAATATGCCAGCTTTACTTTCCCATAGGCTTCCTTTGGATTCTTACCTATGATTTGCACTTAGCGCTCCCTTGCTATCGCAGTAAGAGGGTTCAACGATCCGAGTTGTGCATAGCCTATTTTAATCGCATATTTCGAGAGACGCAGCTCGGGATTCTGCCATCTCCACACCCAGGGGGGGTCCAGCCTGATTTCTCAGATAGGAGTACCTCCTGGCGACAATGTGCATGACCATTCCCCTTCTTCATTGCAGGCAGGATTCTCTAACTCTTACGTACGCCAAGGCTGCCAGGGACCATGTCCCACTAGCTCCGTTGAGCTAGGTCTACGTTTAGTGTTCGATGCTGTGTGACTGTACGCGACCACGGAGATGCGCTTCGTCCTAGTCATCTAGCGGTCCGTTTTTAATCATAAAAGGCAATAGAGACTATGGTTGCTTTTTCTTACAACAAAACGCAGAAGTAAATCCTTTCTCTGGAATACTACTCACCCTACCCTCGCCACTTTCCGTTGAGCTAGTTCTCTCCTTTTTTTGAAACAGCCATCTCAATGACCGTCTTATTCCACCAAAAGCCGTCTTTTTTGGGAGAAATTGTACAATCCTCCTTCCTTTTGCCATTTTTGTACAAAAGGGACTCTGGCAACTCACTCTTCATTTTCGGCTGTGGACTTGGCTGTATGCCGCTCCAATTATGAAAAAAAAGAGAAAAAAGAAGGAAGTGTATGAGCACAATTTATAAATGCGTTTCTCATTTTCAATCGAATTAAAATGAAAAATTAAAATAAAATAAAAGAACAGTTTCAGCTGTCACACCGTTGAGTTACATCAACTAAAGGGTGCAAGTGGGACATGGTCCCAGAGGACTGGGAAAATAGCGGGCCTCCCACCTTTTCAGAGGCCGAAACCAAATGACGGCCGCCGATCAGATTTATCAATGGCAGCCGATCAGATTTATCAATGGCAGTCGTCGTCAGGCCCGACCTCCGAATATTCAGGAGTTTGGGAAAACTGCCAGTTTTCCCTATTTTCCCACGCGGGAAAGGTACTAGTGGTTTAGTGGTTTAACAACAGCCCCGGGGCACAGCTTGAGATGCTGCTAGGAGCATGCGTTAAATCTCCCAGGGGCCAAGTCCCACTAGCAGCGTTGAGCTACCTCAACGCCTGAATCTGGAAGCTTTTGCGGAGATGTGCAGAAATGGTGTTGAGTTTCCTGAACTGCACGTCTCCACAAACACGTCCAGATTCAGGCGTTGAGGTAGCTCAACGCTGCTAGTGGGACTTGGCCCCACTCCTTCCTTTTTTTTTTTTTTTTTTTTGAACAAACAGCCCCGGGGCACAGCTTGAGATGCGGGAAGGAGCATCCGTTAAAATTGGAACGATACAGAGAATGAAGATTAGCATGCCCCCCCGCGCCAAGGATGAAACGCATAAATCGAGATGCCGGTAGGAGCAGAAGCCTCAAGCTGTCCTGGGGGCCCTCCATGTATTGCTGGGGAGCTGCACCTGCTGGGAAGCGGGCCCAGCGTCCCCTGTTACAATGGCATATAACAGGCCCCGTTGATCTACAGAGGCGTCCCCGAAATACCTGCAGCTACCTCAGCCATCCTAAGCAGCCACCTCCATAGGCCCACCATCCCACCTCTCGCACATTGCCGCACATCCGCCGCACATCGCCGGACATCGCCCCCCAGTTGTGCGGTGTGACGGTATGGCCGCGTGCGTGCTGAGTCCTGGCCATGGAGCGTGTTGTGTCCTGTCAAGGTACTCGTTCTGCTGCTACGGCGGGGCGGCTGGACTGCAGCCAATGGAATAACATGGACGTATTCAATTGGCTTCGATTGATTCGATTTGATTTGGTCAGTCGTGCAATCTAATCTGATCTATCAGCGACTACTACACGCCATCGACGGTTGGTAATCATATAGATCGAGCATTCTACGTTCCTTTCTTCTTTCACGTTTTAACTATTCCCGATTATTCGGACTAAAAGCACTAGCGGGAGGTGACGTGTTGTGCGGAGGTAGTGTGATTCTACCCGTTGAATATCGAGAAGCGTCCACGTGTCAGACTGCTTGGCCTTGGCAGAAGAGTACCATCGGTAGTAGCAGGGAGAAAGCACACTTTCCGCCGCTTTGCCTTCCTCCACCCCCCCGGCCGCTCCGCCGCTCCGCCGCCACCGGTGCTCCGCCGCCACCGCTGCCGCCGCCCGGTCACACCTGCCAGCGCCGCCGGGGATCAATATCGAGCGTGAACGACTGCCTCGTGTCGAGCTGCTGTGTGCCACGAAGAACGCTACCGTCGTCCCCCGAACATAAGGCACCCTCATTTTGCCTGTACCGGACCGGAAAGATAGCTTCTATACATTCATGATCAGGGTGCGTTATGTTCGGGGGAAGACGGTAGTGCCGGTTTTTTTTAATTTTTATGGAGACACTCCTGGCCGAGCGCGGGAGATGGATTATCCAAGTGCAAGTGTGCGGCTGCTGGTTTCAGCTTGAGAAATATATCCTTTTTAGGTATGATTGTCATTAGATCGGTTAGATTTGTCAGTTAGTTACAGGTTGATTGATTGATTGATTGATTGGTTGATTGATTGATCGATTGATTGGTTGATTGATTGATCGATTGATTGGTTGATTGATTGATTGATCGATCGATTGATTGGTTGATTGATTGATTGATCGATCGATTGATTGGTTGATTGATTGATTGATTGATTGATCGATCGATTGATTGATTAACTGATTAGAGTTTTTCAAGATGGTAAAGGCGTACCTGAGATACGAGGCTTCGGGCAGCTTTGGTGTGATAGCCTCGTCGGCATCGAACATCACGTATGATGCTTCCGGGAAACTTCTGGTGTCTCCCGCCCTGGAGAACGCCATCCTCTGGAACATCAAGCAAGGCGCTTCGATCCGCACTCTCTCTCCCACCCTGATTTCCAGCGAGGGAGCAGCAGATGCTGCACGGCCGGAGGTGACGTGTATCGTACGCTCACCGACGACTGCTACACAGATTGCCGTCGGCTACGCCGATGGATCGATTCGCATCTGGGATATCCTCAAGGGTTCGTGTGAAGTTCTGCTCAACGGTCACAAGTCAGCGGTCACAGCTCTCAGGTACAATGCCTCCGGAGAGATGCTTGCTTCAGGAGCAAAGGATACCGATGTCATCATTTGGGATGTCGGTGGAGAAGCTGGGCTGTTCCGTCTGAGAGGACACAGAGATCAGGTCACGGATGTGGTTTTTCTGGAGCGATCGCAAAAAGTAGTTAGCTGTTCCAAGGACACATTTGTTCGTGTATGGGATCTCAACACACAGCTCTGCGTTCAAACAGTCGTCGGTCATCGGTCTGAGGTGTGGTCCGTCGATGTCGATCCGGAGGAGACCAGATTGATTACGGGATCAACGGATGTAGAGATGCGGGTTTACAGCATCATCCATGAGGAGGAGGAGGAGGAGGAGGAGGAGGAGGAAGTGACCGCCGGTATAGCTGGAGCTGCTAGCGGTGATGGTGGCCTTGCTGCAAACGGAGGAATGGTTATGACAAGGAAGGGAGCCTTGCAAACAAAGTGGAATGTCCTGAGATTCATGGGGGGCATTCGTCGACAGGCTACCGAGCGAGCAGTGATGGTGCGCTTCAATGCCACAGGGAGGCTGCTCGCATGTCAAGCAGCCGGCAAGACTCTTGAGGTGTACAGAATTAGGGCAAAAGATGAGGTGATGAAGAAGGCAAAGCGACGAAAGAAGCGGAAGCGGGCGAAGGCAGAGTTAAAACAGGCAGCAGGGAGAGAGGCAGATGATGACGAGGAGGAAAACTACACTATCGAAGAGGATGGAGCGAATGTCGAGAACGAGGACGGCGTTGCTGCTCAAGATGAGATCGTCTTGTTGCAGGTTTTGCGATTGAAGCAGAAGGTTCGTTCCTTTGCCTTTTCCCCGGGTGCTTTGCGCAAGAATCTCGTTGCAGAAATCGCTCTGTCGTTGAGCAACAACAGCCTTGAGGTTTACGATCTCCAGGAGTCTGGAGATTGCCATCTCATCCATGCCATCGAGCTTGCCGGCCATCGGTCTGACGTCCGTGCGTTGGCCCTCAGCTCAGATGACTCTCTGCTGCTGTCTACGAGTAACAATGCTATCAAAATCTGGAATCCCCGAACCTGCTCCTGCTTGAGGACCATGGAGTCAGGCTATGGCCTGAGTGCCCTTTTTGTGCCTGGTAATCGTCAGGGGATCGTCGGGACGAAGGAAGGCCACATTGAGATTGTCGACATTGCCGCCTCTCAGAGAATAAGTCAAGTAGAAGCACATACTGGGGCAGTCTGGTCTGTTGCTCCCATTCCAGATGGCAGTGGTTTTGTCAGCGGTAGTGCAGATCACGATGTCAAGTTCTGGGAGTATGAGCTGATTGAGGACAAAGCGTACTCAGACAAAGCGAAGCGGCTGAACGTGCGCAATGTACGGACTCTGAAGATGCCAGATGACGTTCTCTGTGTTCGTCTCAGCCCGGATGGGAAATTCATTGCTGCCGCTCTGCTGGACACCACAATCAAGATTTTCTTTGCGGATTCCCTCAAGTTTTTCCTTTCGCTTTATGGCCACAAGCTCCCTGTGTTGTCCATGGATATCTCCTCTGACGGAGCTCTCTTGGCAAGTGGTTCTGCGGACAAGAACCTCAAGATCTGGGGCATGGACTTTGGGGATTGCCACAGGTCCCTCTTTGCACACCAAGAGAGTGTTATGCAGGTGGCATTTGTCCGAGGCACCCATTATGTCTTCACCGTAGGTAAAGACAAAGTCCTTAAGTATTGGGATGCCGACAAATTTGAACTCCTGCTGACCTTGGAAGGCCATCATGCTGAAGTGTGGTGCTTGGCGGTCAGCTCGCATGGGGACTTCGTCGTAACAGGCTCTCACGACCGATCCATTCGGCGGTGGGAGCGGACAGAGGAGCCTTTTTATCCTGAGGAAGAGAGGGAGAAGAGAATGGAACAGATGTTTGAGGCTGGCGGCTTGGAGGACGGCAGGGAGAGAGGTCCAGCAGCGGAGGAGATTCCAGAGGAAGGTGTCACTGCGCCGGCAGGCAAAAGAACCCAGGAGACTGTGAGCTCTGCTGATGCCATCATTGAAGCATTGGATATGGCGGAATCTGAGATCCAACGGCTGCAGCAACACGAGGAAGAAAAGAAGAAGAACCCAAGCATCAAACCACTGCCACCAAATGCGTTGATGCTTGGACTAAGCCCTTCTGCATATGTTCTGCGCGCTGTTGCTGCTGTAAGAACGAGCGACCTCGAGCAGGCGCTTCTGATAATTCCCTTCAATATGGCCCTCAGGTTGATGAGCTTTTTTGAGGATTGGTTGAAAGACGTGAGACAGGTTGAGCTGACCAGCAGAACTGCAGTGATCTTGTTCAAGCTCCACCATCAGCAATTAACTGCAACGTCGTCAGCGCGCCGACTGTTAACGTCGTTGCAGGGGTGTTTGCGCGGGGGTGTGCAGGCTTTGAAAGACGTAATGGGGTACAATATTGCGGCTATGGGCCAGTTGCAGCACATGCTGGAGGAGAGGTCGGCAGCACCGTTCACTGGGGCAGAAGACAAACTCAAGGAAATTCGAGAGAGGCTAGCAAAAGGGAGGGAGCATATGAGAGAGGAGCGAAAGCAGCGCCACAAGAAAAGTCGTCTGGAGAGGAAAAAAATGGCCAAATCGGCGAAGTCACAAGCAGTTGCTGTCTCTGTCGCATAGTAGAGTCTTGGGAGGTGGGAGGACAAGAAGAAAAAGAAGAAGAAGAAGAATGGTGGGGTCTTGCTGCTTCCTTGTTGCATACAAAAGCAAGAGAGGATAACCATAGTGGCCCCAAGCTTCGTCTTCTCATCAAATCTCTGCTGCAGTGTGGACCATGTTTTTTTCACAGGGAACTTGAAGGGATAGAAGCTAATAATTGTAGAAGAAAGGTTTTGAATCATGTTTGGTATCTATATGCCAGCCCGTTTTGAATCATGTTTGGTGTCATCTATGCCAGCTTTGTTGTCAGAGAGTTCGTTGTTGAAAAAAAAAAAAAAAAAAAAAAAAGGTTCTGGCGTTATGGTTATACTTTCTAGAAATCCAGTTCATTCCGTTTTATTTCTCATTTCAGTATTTTGTAGTACTTCAGGTTTACTTGTGTTATTAGGTCTTGATTTTTTTGCTATGATTTTTTTAACTGTTTATGTAGGAGCTATTGCTGTTCTATTCTTATTTGTGGTTATGATGCTAAATATAAAGATAGCAGAAATTCACGAAAATGTATTACGTTATTTGCCTGTAGGTGGTATTATTGGACTTGTCTTTTTGCTGGAAATTTTCTTAGTTATAAACTTGTAGATAATGATTACATTCCAATATCACCAACAGAATTGAGTACCACTGTTGAAATATACTGTTTATGCTTCCAAAAAAAAAAAAAGAAAAAAAAAAAGCATATTACAGATTCTGAGTTTCTTGGTATGAGTGGGGGGAGCGCCTCTTCAGCCAGACCACAGGCCGCCACTGGCGTGCATGACGATGCTAGCTACTTCCCCTCCCATTCCTGTGGTTACATGAGGTAGGTAGGGGTGGGTCTTGTGAGCACCCAAAAAAAAAAAAAAAAAAACTATCTGGTGGCAGGGTGGGCTGTATACAGCTTCCATTCATCGTAACCTATCAAGTTATAAACCTTTAATGTACGCTTTCCCCAGACCTTAAACCACCAGTCTTTCGCCCAGCTATCGGCCGTGGAAAACAATATAGAGTGGAAAGATTTCTAGTTGGATGAATTTGGGCGCTCCCATAGTGGCCCGTACGTTTCCTAAAATTGTGGCTTGTTAACGGGCACGACTTTAGGAAGTATTACTGGTGGTTTAAACCCTCGCTATTTCGTCGTCTTGATCTACCTGGGCGGAGGGTGATTTTGAAAAAGCTTCAATGCCCTTCAAAGTTCAAAGCTTTAATGATCGTTGATTTCCAATATATCTCTCCCTCCGGAGTTACTGTAGCAGGTTTGTACCAAGTACCAACCGGGTCTGTTCGCACCAAATCTAGGAGTTCCTCCCATTCCACTAGGAGAGCAGCGATATGGGGCCTCAGCTTAACTTTCGCCTCCTGAAGCCTGCCTGTTTTGTCTTTTACCTCTTTTCCCGTCAGCCAGCGTCCACAAATTCCATCCCTTCCTTTTCTTTTTCTTTGTGTTTTGAAGAAAACTTCATACGTGGGGAAGCCCGCTTAACGAGGTGATAAGAGCAGCCCCGTTAGACCACCAGTCCCTCTGATGTCAGAAACCTTGGGGGTACCGGTAGCGCGGTTTCTCGGCGGGTACAGCTGGTATAGAGTGGAAGGCTCCATCTATTGGTGGGGAGTTCACCTGCTGGAAATTGGGTACATCGTCCCTGTACAATAGCCTGTGTCTGCTGGAAATTGGGTCCAGCGTGCCCATACAGTGGTGTGTGAGAAAGTCGTACTGTGAGTGCAATATTGTGAGAGTGTGTTTGTGAAATCCGCGTATGTATGTCATCTGAAAGTCATCCCCCTATTCCATCGCGACTGTCAAATCTTTTTGTGGAGCAGCAGGCATTGATTACTTCCCTCGTGGAGGGAAGGATTGACCTCCTGCCCAAGTTTTGTCATCCAATTTTTACACCAATCTGTACCGATGTATTGTAATGCAAATTGTGCAATTGTGCAATGTTTGTATGTTTGTGTGTTTCTGACCGTGTGCGCTACATCTATATTCCTGCACTTCACTGTACTATTGTATAGGCTCAAGAAGCGGGACAACTGTCCCAGTATTATTTGAACAGAGCGGGCCTGTATAGGGCAAGGGACATCGATTACTTGGCACGATCGAAGAAAGATCAACCTCCTGTCCTCTCCATCACAAAACAGAGTGTATTACCAAGTCTCCCGCGATGTGCCCCACTCAGTAACCCATATTCATCCCACAAAACCCTCCCCAGCCAGCTTCAAGCCAAACAAGCAGTTGATTAGGGTTCGGGAGCCGGCTGACCCCAGTACTCGCTAACCCGTCCCTATCTGATACCAAAGGAGAAACAGCGAGGCAGCTAGAAGACGATCCAACCAAGAAAGAGGGGGGAATAGAACACGCCCAGGGGGAGCCAAACAAGCAATTGATTAGGGTTCGGGAGCCGGCTGGCCCCGGTACTCGCTAACCCACCCCTATCCGATACCAAAGGAGAAACAGTGAGGCAGCTAGAAGACGATCCCACCAAGAAAGAGGGGGGAATAGAACGCACCCGGGGGGGGCTAGAAAGCTCCCACTCAGCTTCAAACCCTGACCTCCCTCCCACTGAGAGCCCATCCATACCTCAGCCAGCTGTTGTAAGATAGGTGTGGGTGCCGTCGTCGTTCTTACTGCCGTTGTTGTTATTGTTGTTGTTGTCATCGCTGTTGTCGCTGTTGTTGTTGTTGTCGCTGTTGTCACCACCACTGCCACCACCGTTGTCGTCGTTGATGATGTTGTCACTGTTGTAGTTAATGTCGGTGTTGTTGGTGTTGTTGTCGTTGATGATGTTGTTGCCGGTGTTGTCCCTGTTGTCGCCATCACTGCCATCCGCGTTGTCGTTGTTGGTGGTGAAGTGCTATCATCGTCCAATCGCAGATGACCATCGCTTCCGCTCAAAGCCGCAGTCGAGCAACTCCCCATCTCCCACTGTGTCATCGAAATGGCATAGAGGCAGCTCCCCATCTACCCCTATATCATCCAGTATCGCCAATCGATCCTCCATCCGGCAGTGCAGGTCACGTCCCTTCCGAAATAGAGCTTGGCAGACTCCCATCCATGCCTCCACCCGTGTCCAATCCATATGGGCATCAAACTGTGTATCCGGCTGCTCCTCCAGCTCCCACAGGACATCCAACATTTCTTGAGTGCGGGCGTCCAACCACTCAAACAGTGTGATCGCCCCCCCACCGACCACCAACCCCTTCTGCATCTGAGTCGACAAAACCCCCACGACCGCCTGTAAGCGCAGACATCCCATCTCCATGGTAGACAGCCAATCATCGCCCCCCCGCTGAAGCTCCGCCACCGTCTCCATGACTTACCTAAAAGCTGCGCCGCTATTCCACGTAAGAATCCAATCACGCACTCGGCTACCCCTGTCCACACGTCGCGGCGCACTCACGGCACCAATCAATAGGTGTCACGTTCCTTATGTCACTTACTTCAAGATGTCTTTCTGGGCACACGAGCGGCTGGATGAGCCAGTACTTGTGCCTGCTGCGAAGGGGTTACCTTGAACGTCCCCGATCCATGAGTTGTCAATCAATGGATCTGGTTCAAAACCTCCGCTTCGGTGACTGGATTACGCCAACGCGTCGGTTTGATTTTTTTGCAGGCCCACGGGACGTTCTGGAGACACTGACTTCATTTCAACGCGTCGGTTTGATTTTTGCAGGCCCACGGGATGTTCTGGAGACACTGACTTAATTTCCCTTTAAGAAAAGAGTCCTGCATGCAGCAGAGCCATACGTCCTTAAGCCTTGGGAGTCGGCACTCGTCCACTGAAATAAATTCCACCATGGTATCCAATAATCATCCTCATTAGCGGAAATCGCTTAGATTACCCACTGAGCCCGCACCACCTGGTTTTGGTTTTGGTTTTGGTTTTGTGGATCTAGAATCCCAAGCCCTCCTTTGTTCATAGGGTAATAGGTAGTATCCCAGGCTACCTTAGACATAATTCCACACTCAAAATTTCCAAAAGGTTTCCAAATGAAACAAGCAGCAGCCCTTCTGACATCTTTAGCAATTGTTTACTTAAACCACCAGTACTTGGTCCACCTATCGGCCATGCAAAAAAGTCGAGTCACAAACGTTTCTAGTCGGATGAATTTGGGCGCTCCTGTAGTGGCCTCTACGTTTCATAAAATCATTGCATGTTAACGGGCACGACTCTAGGAATCACTGGCGGCTTAACTGCCTGACCTTACCCACGGACCAGAGCAAAGAAAAAAGGGTCACGTTGAGGGTCAAAGCCCTACCTTCTTCCCCCAAACATAACGCATATGCATTGTATTCGAGTATCAAAATGTTTATAAAAAAAATGAATAGAACGCATATGCTTTGTATTCAAAATTTCGGGCTTTTTCGAATAGAACGCATATGCGTTGTATTCGAACAGAACGCAAACGCATATGCGTTATGTTCAGGGGAAGAAGGTAGTGTGGGGCAGGCCCCCACCACCATATCCTCTTAACAACTTTTTGCTGCGGCAGGTTACCCTGAAACTCCGCACACCCACTACGTGCTACCTGTACTCCTAGATACCTCTCTGAACTTCCGTCCTCCACCCTTTTCATTCCAAAATTCACCGACGGTGTACCGGGCCCGTAAAAAAATGACCCACTTATTCCACTTCGCAACGGCCTCTGAGAGGTTCGAGTATTATGTCAAGCACTCCTTCAAGGCGGTCATAGAAGAGTGAGTGCCTGCGGAGATGGCCAATAGGTCATTTGTGAGTGCTTTCACCCTGCACTCTCTGTCATGTACCTGAAGGCCAAAAATTATGGGATGGGCCCTTACATTGCAGATAAGCACATCAAGCTGAATCACAAAAACCGGTGGAGCGAGGGGACAAATTTCCCTTAACCATCCAGCAAGTGGACCATACTTGCAACCGCACGAGTCGCACATTCGTGCGGAGTTCCGTGCGGGGGGTGCCTGTGCGGAATCGTGCAGGTTTTCTATTTTTATTATTATTATTTTATCTTTTGTTGGTAGGGGGGACGGGGGGCGTATGACAAGAAGATGGGGATATGGCGAGGAGAGGGGGATATGGAGAGGAGGAGGAGGATGTGGACGAGGAGGGTGACGAGGATAGCAAGGACGACGAGGAGTCAAGGAAGATGAGGACGTACGAGGAGGAGGAGGAGACAAGGAGGAGGAGGACAAACAGGAGGAGGAGGAGGAGGAGGAGGAGGAGGAGGATACGAAAAGGAGAAGGGAGGAGGAGACATGGAGGATGAGGAAGGGGAGGAGGAGCAAGGTGAGGCAGT